TGGCAGGCCCTGGATTCAGTTGCTTTTCAGTCCATTGCGTCTGCATCACTTTAACATCAGGCTATTAAACCAATTCTCTCATTTTATTTCCCCTATTATTGGCAGTCTATGCTGTCTCTGAAGTGTTCTATCAGTCTACTTTCTGAGCATGTGGGTCTTTCTATATTTAGCGTCAGCCGCTTAATTCTACTCCTCGCCTGGTTCGTTCTCTCTATTACACAAAGCTTCTGTCCTATGTACACCACCACATACTTTACCACTTAACTACCAGTTTACATTCTATTTCGCACATAACTGTCTTTCCTGCTGCTCGCAATCCAACTACTAGGACTACGTCAGCTATTGAACTCGATGTATGGTTAAGAAACCTACCAGGGAAAATAAATAAACAATAGAAGCTGCAACTAAATAAACGTATTGTTTAACCTTCAGGCAGTGAGAAGACAGTGCACGCGATATGGCTGGCTGGCCGAACAACCTCCTCGTGATGCCAGCTGGATGGTTCGGTTTTACCCCCTTCCAGCAAATAGTTGGGCGGCAGTGTTCCAGGACGTGGTGGGTTTTCGCCTGGCAAGCGTTCTCCCTATAAAATGCCACAAAAGTCCGTTTAGCCACACTGTGACGTGGCGGTTGTGACTCGCCACTGACTAAAGTCACTCACTGCTTATCCGGACAATCGCTTCAACTCCACAGATAGCCAGCATCCATTTAGCACTGGCGACACCTTCAAACACATGCAAACATAGCGACAGGAAACATTTACCAATCCCATAAACAAAGCTAAACAAGCGTACATGCAAACTTACATACACTCATATATAAACGTATGCAACAATCCCATTGTTCCATTGTACATTAACTGCTCACATTTTGCACTCTTAACACGATCATGCCTGCGCAGGCTTGCCTTGCTTAGTCGAGAATACACAATTTATTTATTTAATTACTTATGTCAACATTTCGATCATCCTCTTTAGTCTTAACCACAATACTAACTCTTAATGTGGTTGCGACTGAAGAGAACAATAGAAATGTTGAGATATCGCAACCTGTCTTCTCGCTTCCTTAACGAAGCGGCTGAAGGGGACTCATTGTTTTACTTTCCTGAAGCGTATTACGCTATAGCCTTAAACCGTGCCAGGAAGCCGTATAGCTCGTAACTTAAACGTGCGGCGCATGCCATAAATTTATCCTTAAAGCCCATGAGGTCCCTGTGGATCGAGAAGAAACTTCTATTATCCAAACGTAACCTCTACAAAAGGAAAGCAACGTGTGATATAACAAAAAGAAAACCAACTTCGTGCTTTTTCTACTGCAGTAACTGAGCAAGAAAGGCGCCTTAAAAGGTAATGGATATGCGCACCAATTTTGATCCTTCTCTACAACCCACTGCTCCTAAACAGACAGCGTCCCTGCTGCTGCACTATGGCCTATTTGCACGGGAAAGTCCAGTACACTCGCTACTTTCGCATGCTTTTCGTTCGCTCCGGAATGGCTTAATCTGGAAAAACGTACAACCTTAGGTTGACGGGCACGTTCGTTAGGACCTTTGCTAATCTAGATCACGTCACCTATCACACTGTCTACGCATAGTGCGCCTTAGCCGGGAATACGGCTATGGATAGCTGGTACAAGCAACCTTCGTCGCCCGCCTTCAAAGTGACACCGAAACATTTGTCTTAGTCGTCATTTGTCGTCGCCGAACGTTTCCCAGCTAAAAGCTTACAGGCTACTGTGTTTACTAAAGAATTTGAGGGTTCTGGTAACGTAATCTGACCCCAATGGGTGTGGATGCTCCGAAATGGATAGTCAAACAGCAGACGTAATCGGATTTCTCTCCTGGTCCACATAAAAATAAGGTTGGACAGGTAAATGGGTGAAGTGTGCTTTGATAAACCGGCACGTGCTTCAGCAACATAGATTTCCCCGCACTTACATTTATACATAAATAAATAACCAACCTTTTCTTCCCAAATATTTCGAGGCACGCCAAACCGAGCACGAACAAAATTTCACAAGTAATGCCGTTTCGCCAAGTTCAGTATCATAGTTAGCGCTGTGTTGCTAATGAAGGAGCGAATGTGATTAGTGAGGGTACGTAAGCATGTGTGGGTATATGCGTGCGAATTAGTTGTGTGTGAAGTAGGGGGACTCACCAATTGCTGCAACGTGCTGTGACTTGTTCTGTGGCGAGTTCCATCCGGCACGTCGCAGTGGTGTTACACAGACATCTGTGACTTTCTCTAAGGAAAACGCTTGCCAGGCCGAAACCCACCACGTCACGGCACACTGTTCCACATGAGCCTTCAGTAAAAACTACAGCGACCGGTTTGAGAGCATGACTTGTCCCTCGCCTTGTGTATGGTACGTCGTCTTTCACGACTTGTCTATATCGAACATGCGACAAAGTTCCTGCGCCAACCTTCACGGAACAAGAGCCGCTATCAGCGTGTAACAGTCCGAGTTCTCAACCTTGACACACCATTTGATCTCCACCGCCGTTGCCCCTGTGCAGTTATCAGCTTGGGCAATCGGGACAGACACACCCCATTTAGGGAAGTTGTCGTTTACGACCAGGAGGTACCGATGCCTAAGTGGTGCCTTTAGTAGAGCAACAACAAAAGCAACAGCCACTATCACTTTCGAGTACTAGTGTTCATAGGTTGCAATGGCGCTCACCGGGTTCTTGAAGGTAGCGCCTGTCTTGACGCCTGGTAAATTTGGCCACGTCCATGCGTTTAAGTGGCCACCATAACAACTGAACAGTTGCTGCCTCGATTGTATTGATTCCGGCATGACCCAGCTGTTTCGGCAGCTCGTATCGAACTACTTAAAATAACAGTTGTGTAACGAGGATTCTTTTGGTGTGGTTTCGGTCAACTTCGTGCGCTAGCACACCTTCGACAGCAAGCTTGTTATTCAACGCCCGTAAGCTTCTAGCTTTGTGAGCTTTTGCCTCCACCTCCTTCGCGGTACGTTTGTTACCCAAAAGCGCCGCTTGTCCTATATCAGTGACTCGTATCAGGTTGCCGTCCGTGCCTTCTGCAAAGGACTGTACTCCGAACGCTAAACGTTACCTAGAGCGAAGCGTTGTACAGTGCAAGAAGGACAGGCTACATGAGCACAAATCGGGCGTTTAGGAACAGTATCTGTGTTATGATCCTGTGTACCAAGTCGGTGTCAGTACTCAATCATTTACTGGCTGTTGTTCCTGCCAGCCGGTAACCTGCCCACCGGACCTCTGAAATGCTGCAACCAGCGAGGTGACCGATGAGTTGTCTGTACCAAAGACGTTCTTCTAACAGGTAGTGTTTTATTATGCTTTATAAAAAATACTGGAGCTAAAAGTTCTTTTCTGCTTGTACATTAGCTCCGTCCACTGGAAACGATACTTCTACTGTTGTAAAACATTATGCTTTCTATTCTGTCCTGCACTTCTTGTTACAAAACAGCCGTAATCGCATGCTCGCTGAAAGTTGCCTATGCATTTAATTCGTCAGATGCTGGTTGGTTTGGACGCCTTCTTTCCGATCTTCGCTACAGAGTCAAAAAGATGTCGGATGCCGCCTTGCAGAATGCATTTTTGACGCTCCATTCAGGCATTCAGCTAGATAATAGTTGACTCCACGGTCACTAGGAAATGCCATCTCCTATTGTTTGCTTAACGCTTGAAGCAGCACACTTTGTCCATTAGACCGACGTTTCCTCAGCTAGGTGCGCAAAGTACAAATTCATCCTGCTTTACAGGTTGCTCCATTCGGTTCAATCCGTATCGTCGCTGTCCGACGACACGAGGTATTACCACATAAACTTACCCTAAAATTTCTTACCTTGGTAGCTTAAATACGTCGTCTTGGGATAAAATGGACCAAACGAATCCTTAAATACGGCCAGTTTGGATCTTTATGCCGGGCAAAATTCCATTAAAATGGTTCAAACCTCACCTACTCAGAACGTCCCTGTTAATGTGTGGTTGCTTATTGAGAAATGCCTGGATTAGCCAGCTGTGTTTTTCCTCATCAAACGATCTTATACGCACCGGCAAAGCGTGTTGTCGTTTACTCCACAAAAACAAGTACAATAGGTCCCTAGGAGACTATGCATGAGCGTTCTTTACAATTATGCACTCTAGGAGGTCATTCGGTGGCGGTTGTGAGTACCCCAGATTTAGCTTTGCTTTTAATATATCTGTCACCCCCCATTTTTTGGCGCCTGCTTTTAGTAACGAATTTTAACATTAGGCAGCTTCAACTTCGCTAGAAGACAACGGCGAAAACCCTAATAGAAATGCTTTTGGGCCCGCATTTAAGTCGCAGGCTCGAACCTCCTCCTCCTAGTAATCTGAATGCTTGCATCTGCTGTAGTTGTATATTTACCTTGTTCCTTGGAAATGCAAAATTTCGGTAGCCTGCCTGAAGGTGTACATGCACACAAGCACAGGATGTCGCTGTGAATATACACGGGGAATTGAGCAAAGGTGTAAGTTGTAGATTCGTCCAGTAGTAGCTGATGAGGATTCTTTCACGGTCACTTACAACACATTGCTCGACTAACATAAAGGAGAAAGTTTCTTTATCTAGTCCAAGTTCTTTGTTCTCCCGTAAGGCACAGTAGTTTAGCGACTCGCGTCCGCTTTCGCCGAACGGGAGGTGACAGTGCAAATAATGAAACTACTCTCTGTGGTTAAAAAGCCGAAGGAAACAGCTAAGTAGATAAACTAGTTTTCAGAACTGCTGCTTCAAGCGAATAACCTACGCATCATGCTTTAACTTCTACCACACTTAACGGAGCGGAATTACTGTATCGTTAATGATATTTTTCGTAAACTCACAGGCGTCAAAATTGACCATGCGTCAAATATGTACCTTTAAAATTCGAAAGCGTCGAGCATAACCTAAATTTAAACCCACCTTGTTTCCCCACAGAGGTTTATGCAATTTACTGTTATGGCTTGCTGATTGTTTGTGTTAAAGCGTTGTATGTCATGGTAAACCGCTGTCACTTCTTTGGATAAGTCCCGCCATAATTAGGGGCCAGTGGATTCACAGGAAGCGGGAGTACAAAATTTGGATACTAGGCTTTTGTCGATTGAAAATATATTCCACCGAACTTTCACACTTGTCAGTGTAGGTGGTATACGCGGACGCACTTCGTATAGTTCTAACCGTTTTATATTTAGCATATTAATTCCTGTCAGCGTTTTGGTGGTTGATCTAATGACGCACAGGAACGTGGAACAAATGGTGTGATTGCCCGAGTACCATCCTCAGCCTAACGTTAATTATTAATCCGTAAGCTTTTATATTATCCTAAAACACTTTGAAATCTGCTTTTATTTCAGGAAAGAAGAAAATTATCTCTACTCGCAAGTGCAGGTCCAACCTAGCATTCTAACCTATATTCTTGGCTTTTTACACCCGCGAATTCTCCGGTCCCCAGATAATGAAGCTGTGCATATGTCAACTATGCAATTGTGGGTATGTTTACGGCTGCAATCTAAATGATACAAAAATATTACTCGAATTTTTTGAGATGTACATATACACCTTTTGTCTAGTCTTATTACCGATATACTTGTGGTAATAAAAGGATATTTTGCTTGGGTTGAAAAAAAGGTTCCGCCATAACTAGACACCAAAAAATTGCGTGTGATAATGTTTAGTGTGCATCTCATTAGCAGGTAGCATAACATATTAGCCAGGTCACCAGAAGCAACCCTGCTACCACATGCTTGGCCGAAATAAAATTCAAATGGGACAGAAACAAGAGGAGATTTCCATGTTTGTCCCAACTTGAGTTCGTCGTTTAGCTACGTTTTATTTCGGAAGTATGGTTGGCCAGTTCTGTGAGCCCAATTAAGTGCGGAACACGTCGATACGACCGTCGTCAACTGGTCAAAATCCACGTGCTCTGCGCTAGCAATCCCCGCTGCGCCGGCCAATTGCAATAGAAAAAGGAAGAGGAAAACTGTACTTTAGGCATAATGTGGAAGAGTACTACAAAACCTGTAAAGGGATTTAGTCCAAATAGTTATGACGGATAGGAAATGACGGGCCTTCAGAGGGAAACTTAAAAAGAAAAATATAAAACTCCAAGTTATATGTTGAGAGCGTCACAGTGACGCTTAAGCACTATTACAGTGGATGACAGTACAACGTCTTCCAGTAGCGCATTCTAGGCATCAGCTACTCCAAATGACAAATGAATGTCAGTTCAAACCCGACAAGGTCGAAATTTGTGCAACTTCAGCGAATGCCCACGAAGAGTAGGTAAGTAAGCCAGCTGAAAAGGCCAGGATAGTCTGGACCGATCCGCCCTGTTAGTATACAGAAAGTGAGAACTAAATCACCACGAAAATGGCAACGACGTAGCCAGAACATAAGTAGCTTAAACTATTTCTCAGAACATGATGGGTGCCGCAGCTCTCAGGCCATATTGGTACAACTGCCAAAACCAGCGCTCCAGCCATTCTGTTAGGAGGCAGGTAAGGAGAACATGCCTAGACTCAGTTCTCAAACTGCGGTCTAACAAAAGTCGTAAATGAGTTACTAAATCTTTGTTCTGTCATCCAGTGCATTCGGAAGCCCTTGCATGCCGGTTGCTTCGTTCTCACTGGATATGATGTTCGGAGAGAACTTTATATCTAAGTCAACTGGTTGGGATACATGAGGTTATTCGTTCCTGCCAATCATTTAGTGCGCCGTCGGAAGATTTGCTCCGGCACGCAGAACTGAATACTTCGTGTGGTTTATTGGCATATATATATATATAACACTTGCCCAATAAACATTTGCAGAGTACCACAACACATGAGTAACAAGAACAAAAAGGTGAAAGTGATTCAGAGGAATAGAAGCAAAGTTCCATTGTTGTGTGGGCATTGAGCTTCCCGCTTGCCCAGGCCGAGGAAGAGGGTTGACGTAAGGGACCTCACGCCATGCAGTTGGTCTAAAGACCTGAATCGCAAGGCATCTGCCAAAAAGGACAAATAAAGGAGTTTATCAGGGGTTTCTTGGAAAGCATGGGAGCCATCGGAGTTGTTTACCATGCACCAATATTTTAAATCGTCCCTAAACATAATGATAGGCCCCCCAGCACTTCCAGCAGGTCATTTACGTACACGGAACGATGTCCGTCCATTACCGGTGACTCAGCTGGCGTGCAGCTGTTTCAGATACTTTATATTTTCTTGTTTTTCGGCGCAATAGCTGCGGTGCCTTCCACCTGTGGCTAACGTGTATAATGATTGAATGACACGCATATTAGCTATGGTTTGAGTGACCGCTTTTTCTTTGGCTGCATTTGCCGATTGAATGCCTAGCGTGGGTGTTGTTTTTACCCATAGCCGTTACAGTTAGACGCATTTTTAACGTGTTTGGTCACAAAAGTGTTTTCTAGCCTAGGCTTAATATTTGTCTTGGGTGCTTTTTATTGGTCTCAAAATCCCACGCGCTAAGCTTGTAAAGCGAGTTTCTAAGTGTCATAACGCATTACTGAATACTCAAGATTACACAAAGCATTTGCATTACTCATGTGATCAAAATGTGTCGCACTGAGATGGCCAGTTGAAACAGCTTATGAGTTAAGGCCAGTAGTGCCGACTTTGAATCATAATATTTGGTGTCATATTTAGACGAAATACGCTAGTGATTATTTATTCCCCTCAGAATTCTGTGCCTGACAAAAAGTACGCAAAAATATGTCTGCTAGCTATCTATCTGTGCCGAAAGACACGGATCCTTTACTCAGGGGTCTACAAGGGTTACCCCGGCGTACACCAATCGGTCATTCTTTCTGCGTGGAAGTTTTCATAAAATAATATATACAACCATATAACCTGTAATATAATGCTATATATAAGATGACACACAATATACTATAATAATATAATAAGATTATAAAGCATTAATAAACTCGCAAAGCTAGTCTGCGTGGAGGGCTTATACGCCAATGGAATTGTCACGACAGTTTTAGCGATGCCTGCTTCGGCTATCGGAATTTGTCTGTAAGCACGCACCAAGTCGATATTGCTGAAAACCTTTTTACCTGCCAGGCTGGCGGTGAGGTTCACGATATGTGGGATCAGATAGCGATCAGGCGGGGTTATGTTGTTTAGAGATCGCTAATCGCCACAAGGACGCCAGTCTCCTATGGTCTTTCTCGGAACCATTTGAAGAGGTGACGCCCATGGGCTGTTGGCTTATCTGAGGATACCGACCTGAAGCATGTGATCGAATTTTAATCTTGCGGCACGTAGTTTGTCGGAGGAGAGTTGTCTTGGTCGGGCACTTGTTGGCGGACCACGCGTGACAATGTGATAAGCGACCTCTGTCGTTACTGGCGGAAGATCTACAGCTGGTCCTACCAGTCGCGGGTATTCAGATAGTAGGTTCGCATAACCTAAAGGTACGTCGGCGATTCGAAACACGGGACTGATTACCGGGGCGTTCGTAAGAACGCCTTTAGTACTCCTTTAGTACGGTCGCCTAAAAGTCTTAGACGTTCAACATTAACAAGCAGCCCAATATGTCGAAGTCGATAACTATAAGTTCAAAGGGTACAGACGCAACAAGTAAGACCCACTGAAAATCTCGGCAAAGATTGAGGCCCAGGTTCATCATGCGCTGATCGAATGAAGCTATCGGAGAACCGTTGGCCGCACGCAAATTGTACGTAAGCTCTGAGTGCTTGTCATTAGCGGTCGCTGGGATGATACTGACTTCCGCTCCAGTGCCGATGAGGAACGTGATGGAAGAACGTCGATACTTAACGTAAAACAGGCGATTTGCTTGGTTATTGATGGATACGTTTGTGGTGCTAGTATGGGGGCTATTCGCTTTCCCAGAAGCCGCTGAGTCGTGCCTATTGCAGTGAGCCGGACAACGTCTAGCTCTTCCACCGTATTGGCGGCAACACCAACATACCTTTTCGATGGCTTTGGTATTATCGGACCGAGAACGTGCAGCGAATATGCTGCGCTTCTTTGTCGGACAAGACCTACAGGGTGTAGACACAGACCAGCCGCAATGAGCTGTAGCCAGAATATGGTCAGCGTCTGACCGTGGCACCCGCTGCTTCGGTACCTTCATTGCTGCTATCCTGTGGTGAAGTGGTGCATTTCCCTCATCTTTAGGGTCAGATCGGCCTGACGACTTGAAGAAAATATGAGATTTGGATTTCATTGGTGAGAATACGTCACTGGAGCTACTGCTTATCCGCTGCGGAAGACATTAGAACGCAGCGTCTGCCTTGGTAGCTAGTTCTTTCATAGACATGCAGAACCATGGACAGAATTACCGGGGATACGTGCAAACCACGGTTCCTTTATCTCTTCGTCTCGAAAGAATAATGGACCAGAGATGCGGTGAAATTCGCAGAGTAACGTCGACGGCTTGCAGTCTCCCAGCTCGAAACCACTGAGCTGTTCAAATCGAGCTCGCGCGCTAAGCTATAGCTCTTTCAGAATCGCATGCTTCATCGGTTCATACTTTGCCTCCTTCGATGGGCAAATTAGCACATCCTCAACCAGCGTCATAAGCGCTAAATGAAGGCATGAGATGAGTTGATTGTACCTCGGACGGTCCGTCGTAATGCCCTTATTTTCCTGTTTGATCTCGTATATCACAAAACAAACCTCTATGCTGTGTTCCATGAACCTTGGAATAGCCAAAGTAAGCATGCTTACACTGTGAAACGACTCAGATGTCACTTTTGTAATGTAAATCGAAAGATCAAGAATGAACAAAAACACGATGAAACTACTAAAATTACACAAGAAACAAAGGAATACACGTATATACTCGAGAAAAAGGAACGTACGCACGAAAAAATACAAACGACGAGAAAGTTTAACTTCGCGCATGGGAATCGAGGTCATTAATTTAAATGACTAGTAAATACTAGCCTGAGACGGTGCTCGAAATTAGGCGCGGATGTCAGAAGGCAGTTGGAGTCGGACACAGCGGACCGTATTCGATGGGCTACCAGAGGACGCGGATGGATGAAACGAGACAAGAGCAACATGTTAACGCGGGAACTTACAAGACAGGACAAGTGACGAGCCGGTTGTAAGGGAGCTTATAACAGGAAAGAATACTATACAACTGGTCAACATTGAAATAGTGCATGAGACATGGTAGTTATCGTTTGGCACTACATGCTGAGGGCGCAGTTTGTATGGCTCTGGCCGTTGTACTGAGACAGGGTACGGTCACGCTTTCTTTAGTCAAAAATTTGGTGTCTCGACATAATGTTATGTTGTGACATTCCTGGAGGCTAGTTTTACTTATTTAAATTAAATTTACAACTAAAGGAAAGACATTAAATATGCAAAGGCGATATTGGAAAATACTTTGAGTGATTGCCTTGCGACTGTGATGTGTCTCACCGGAGCAGCCATAAGCACACGTATCAGTCACGAAGGGCTCCCCGACGGTTGTACCAGCGTCCATCAAACGGTTACTGTTACTGGTCGGTT